ACCTCGATTGCCTCAACTTGTACCACCACCTTTCCTCTGACTTCGACTCAAGTCATCGTCCTCATCCATGCAGACACTTCCCACATTACGAAGAGTCTGAGGTCTGCGATCATCTTGACAGTCTAGCAGGCAGTATAATGTTGGCGGTGGAGCTTGTATTTCTCACTTATCCTTTCCCCTCCCCACTTTTCTCCGGACATGGAGGATCCACTTTAGCCCAACATGCTTCGCAAGAGGTTATTTCAGAACTCTTGCAAGTGTGCCTCTCGTCCGTAATTACTAATAGAATTCAGTCTTTGTTTAGAGAAGTCAACCGAGCATCGGTGTTTGACTTCAGGTCAATGAGGAGTCGTAGAATTGCAGACCAGGAGACAGACCCGAGCTAGTGTCGTATTTGTCCAGTCCAATTGGGAATGAGAAGCCAATAATGGCAAGCACATGCTGCTGCTGTCAGTTTGTCCGGATCTCTGCCTTAGCCATGAAAAGCTTCCCCTACCACACTTCCTCAACAAAGCCGTGCAGAGATTTGGTGACACCACAAGCACATCGGCGATGCAATTTTTCCGAGGTCCACCATTGGAGCTTATCCTTGTGAAACGTTTCATGTCGTCAGTGTCTACCGTGGTTGAGAGAACAATTCCTGGACCATGGACGCCTGCCCCGTCTGCTGGCCGCCTCCGTCAGACCAAGTCCGGTAGCGGCTGCAAGTCATGAATCAACCGGAAGGAAGGGTGCGGAAGTAGTTCGAGCACTCCATTGACCAGATGCTGCTGCTGCTGCTGCTGGTGGTACAGTAGAGTACAGCACGGGACTGGATCAGGCAGTTAGAAGTAAGCCTTTGCAGAAGCTGAGCTGAGCTGACCGTGGATTGCGCCTCCCGCTAATCTCATTGTTCATGTTGAAACCGTGGACTCTTCATCTTCAGACCAGTAGACGCCAGAACTAGGCGCATGTTGAATCAGTCCTTATGGAGACAAATTCCTCGTCGTGGGATCTGAAGGTATCTGAAGGAGAATTAAGAAGAATTATATGAATCGTGTTTTGATTGTTGTGTAGATGACACGAAAGATCCTCTCACAAACAATCGAAGGCGCTGTCTTGTGATGTGACTTCCATGAAAGATTAGAATAACAGCTGCATATATTATCCTTTTCTATCATTCGTTTTGCAGCATATTCTCATCACAAGGCGCTGGCACGGATCTGGGAAGGCAAAGCTCGATAGGATTAGGGTGATATTCATGTCTCCCACATCCGTGATGAAAGGAAATTCTTCCAGTCGGGAAGATCCCCCTAATAAATCTGTCCAGTTACAGATATATAAGAGCCCAAAGGGAATATACAAGCTTTCTTACACTAATGGAAATCACTGACCCTCCAGTCAGTGATCCGATAGAATATACAATTGCAGTAAACAAATGGGTCATCAAGAGTCTGCTAACAAATTCATAGAATATATTCGTCCTCGTTACGTTTGAGATTTGGGGCCAGGCAAGATTGTAAGTTAGAGTTGGGGTTGTGCACTAGCTTGTTGTCCTCGTTTGGTTCATCTAATTTAAGCTGAGTTGAAATCGGAGGGGCTATTGTCCATGGACGAGGATTGAGTCAATATGTGTCTGCAGTCTGAAAGTCTTCCTGGCAAATTTTTACACGCCGCCTCATTCTAGCGCGTAGTTAATAGAGTAAATGACATACAGATCGAATTTTTTGTTGTTTAAATCTCAACAGACAGACACCGTTTGAACATACAACCTTTGAACGCCACTGACGAAGGTGAATCAGTCTGAAGACCGATCTCGCACATAAGCATGGAGCACGAGCTCCGGAGCACAGACGAGCGAGTCACTTGAAGGATTCATCACCTCGTCTTGATACAAATTCTGTTCGTCAGCTTTTCGGCCAGATTAAAAAAATACTACAATCCAGGTCATGAACTCAGATTGAAATCATTTAAATCCTGGCATTAGTATTTCAGCGCGCCAGTAAAGAAACTGTAAGAAACAGAATTCAGAACGTTCCAAATCGTGCTTCTATTCTGTATTTGTAGAAGAAAACTGATCCATTGGCTGCTTCTGATCGAAAACTCAATGGTGCCAACAAAACAAAGCCTCATCAAAAAGTCAAGTCTGTGGCAGTCGCATCTGCATCTGTTTATTCACGGAACGAAAGTCTAGCTTGTAAGATCGAATTAGTCTTTTCAACAGACTGGAGTGCTTCTTCGAATGACAGACAGACATGTGGGCTGAGATATTCTCACGTGGTGCTGAAAAACTCGAGCTCGATCTGATCTACATGTGTATGTGTCCTGCGTATACACAACCAGGAGAGCATATCCTAGTCCCGTGCTAAAACGAACCTCATTCCATTCCAGCAGCATGTAAGTCAATATGAATCTCTTCATGGAGACGGAACAGCTGGCTACCTACGATCTACATCCGAAGACACGGTTTAGTCTATCGAGTTAGGTTTCAATCCAGCGGTGGAGACCACCGTTTCATGGGAAGAGGACTTGGGAATTGTTGTCATATATGACGAGACCACAGCGTTCGTGATCTGGAGGAGATTTCAGAGATTCTGAGATTCCGTACGATTCTGGTCAATCGGACTGGATCTTCTGACGAACGGATTTCCAATCATGAGCCCTCTCTGACCATTTTGATGATGCGTAGGAGAACGATGAAGATGCCGTCGTCAAAGTACCGTACAGAGGTACGTTGCTGTAATCACGAGGTGGCATCATTTGACCATGATTCCTGCATTGATTACAGCAAATCTACAGATGAAACTCGACTGAGCTCTCCTTCGTGGACTTCATGGGGTCTTCCCTTCCTTCCCGTAAGGAAATAAGCACCAAGTCTCTATATCCCCATATTCAGTCTCTATAGAACACAATGCATGAAAAGGAATCAATGGCCCTCCAAAAGGGCACATTGGGGGTTTAGAGAAATAAACCATGGCTATCAACAGTAAATTGTGACAATGGATGCTGTTCCTCCAGATGAATGACAAATACTTGGAGGTATTTGTTGAAAAAGATTTCATTATAATACAAGTATGACTTGCATCTCAAACAATTGGGTAGGGGAGGGTCGTGGAGCTTTGATGAAGGACAGAATATATATCACAAGTATAACCACAATCTGGATTGTGTGGAGATAAAATATTGTCATTCATGAAGCATCTCCTGGACCATCAAAGGCATCATTCTCAAACTGGTGAGGTCGATCGACACGAAGTCAGTGTGGACTTCAACCTCTAAGAACGTCACTTTTATCGTTCTTTCTTTACTTGTAAGACCTTACATTCCAATCAATCAATTATTTTAAACCAATGATCAATTAAATCTCCCCTGGTTTAAGATTTATAAGTACTTTCAATGCGCAGGAGCCTCTCCACCAAATTAGTGTAGGAGACAGAAGGCTAGGACGACTCTTTATTGATGGAATCTGAGTGTCATCTGTACTGCAGTAAGGCTCCTCCCAGTCCATTTTATGATTGAGTACCTTTCGACCTCATCCTTCGTAGCCTTTTGAACACATCCCTGTGATCCTCTGAAACTCAAAGGCCGGGAGTCGCGGGAGGGGCCTGAGCGATCCGCCAGTGAAAGTGGGCTAGAATCTCATCATGACGCATGGTTTGTGTGCGCTCTTTCGTCTTGCTGGGAGTCTTGTTGGATGATGATGCGGTGCTTTCTGGCCAAGTACGTAGGTCACTGATTAAACGCATGAACTCCTGCTTTTCTTCTGCCGCCCAAACTCTGCACAACTGAAATTTTAGCCACTACTTGGCCTTTCACAATATCAGAGATTAAAGTACTTCGAGGCTGCATGCAGAAAATATATGAAGGTTCTCCTGATTATGGGGGAGATTTGTCCGATTCCCCTGTTTTATGCCCGCAGTACGAGACAAGTTCTGTGATCCACTCCTCAGTGTGTTCTGCTGGCAGAACATTGGATCCACATTAAAGGAGCAGATAGAAATGTGTTCTCTGGTCTACTTGATTTAATTTCATGATGATGATCATCTGCAGAACCTCCTCCATGATCCCAGGAGAGCAGTGTAGAATATCATAAGGGATGGCCCCGCGAAGTCTTACGAGGATGGAATCAAGAGGGTGACATGGTGCTAGGCCCAATGAATCACAATGCTAAACATGTACTCCAAAGGCGTTAAATATCCCAACTAACCATAGTCATCCAAACAAGTAACGTATTGCGGCAAATAGGGAGCAACTCTCATCAGAGTAATGAGTTGCGTGTATGTATAGGGGAAAGGGTCCAAGGGGATATCCAAAAAGATGGGGAAGACACCATCAAGTACAAACCCAACGTGAAACCAATGTCTAGTCCTCGGTGATATCACAATGAGAAAAACCACAATTTAATCTTTGATTCTCGGTTCTTTTTGTGGTGTCCAGAGGCTTTGGTGAAATGCCTTGCAGTTTGAAGTTTCCTTCACTAATAAAAATTTATAGTGTATTTCATGTTTCAAGTTATGTCTGTAATATGCATACATAGGGGAAACATGAATCAAAAGGTAGAACAAAAGAATAGGCGATTCATCTCATTGAGAATACTTAAGTACAATTGCTGACTGAAAACGAAACTTTACGCGGGAGTGAAGGGTTGATTGAGGTTTTAAGTAGACCTGAGTTAACTCCTTATTGCTTGATTGCAGAAGCATGCAACACAACCAAAGCAGTTTTTCTTTCAGTTACTTTGGCATGAGGAACTTGAGGTTAAAAATAATCAATATCTCATTTGAGAAGAGAAATTTCCAAAATACATTACTTGGTTGAATTGAAAGGATTTGTATCCTAGTTTTCACAGTGATGTGTGTGATATCTTATATCAAATAGTGTTTATGGATGGTGGTTAGAACTTATGTTCTTTGTATCTTTTTGGAATATCTATATAGTCAAGAATAAGACCAACTAATGATACGTCAAATTCAAAGTTCTACACAGCTGATGTATTTCCTTTTCTTTAGTGTTCTATGTAGTAGCTACAAGGTATACCAAAGTACAGACCTTGAAATGGCAAACACTGCATCCTAAGAAAAGACAAAACTGTAGGTTTATAAAGTGAGACAGTAGATATCCGTGAACATCTTCATGTATGGACCAAGCTAGAATGCAACTTCATGCTGGAGTGAGAAACCGCAGAAACATGTGGAGCCTGAACATGATCCTCGTGGGAGCAAATCCCTCCATCAATCAGGTCCATGGGTTCAGCTTGTACATGGGGGCCGTTACGGAGATGAAAAGAACACAAAGCCTTTGTTCGGTAAATCCCTGAGATCTGATGTTGGATGTGGACGAAGAGATCCTTGGAAATCACTTTCAAGTGATGGTCTGTGTGTCCACGTAGTCATGGTAGATATGTACGAACTTGTTGGCCTGATCCATTACGCACCAACCTTCTAACAGAAGAATCGATATGATAAATGTAAGGACCTTCTGACGTTCTGATCCTCTTCACTTTATCAAGAAAAATGTACCTCGGAGCAAAGATGACTTGTCTGATCAATCCATAGACTCGCCACGATTATAGATGTCAAGCCGGTAGCAGAATTGGAACTGTGGATGTCCAGAGGACCTCTTGTGATCCCTGACTTCCATCCTCCTATACAATGCATATAACTATCCTTTACCACCATCAAAGCGAGCTCCGGTGTACTTCCTCTCTTCAAGGTCTCGTGCATCTCACTTGCCACAGATGTTGCCAAACAACACTATCTTCAGTCCAGGCTAAGACTCTGTTGTGAGAATTTTACCATTGTCTCAGAAGACTGCCACGGTTCTAGTCATAGCACATGTACAATTTATATCCTGGAGATACAGAATTCAGAATTCAAATACAAATTATACAAGCTTCATGCTCTCACATCCGCCTACCAGGTGACGAAATCGTTAGCACAAGTGGTTCAGTGTGATAATACGATCAGTGTACGATCGTATTACTATATTATGGTGTATTATATATACGATCGTATTACAATATTGTACGATCGTATTATTAGTACTGAAAAAAGGTTTGGCAAAGTGCACGGCAGCTGGAAGACATTCATATCTTGATCACTGAATAAGGTTTGCAAAGCCTACGGACCTTGTGCACCCAGTACGAAAATGCAATGAACTTGTCTTCACTGCAAAGTTCCGACCACTGCTATTTCATCTAGTTACTGAGTATTCTGATAAGTAGTTACAAACTGATTTCCAATAGACAAACTTGACATGAGCATCAACCTATAAACAACATATGTGGAACCGAAGGTTATTACAAAAATTCCCAAGACAGCCGAAATCAAACTAGGTTCGTGATTTCTTCAGATCCTACATTCTCCATCTATTAATAATTTAGCAAACCATGATGAAATGATACATGGTACAAACTTTAGGCAAAAGGCATTCCCAGACCCCCTATTGCAGTCGCTGATTCAGATTTTAACAACCGGAAATAAGGTACAAGCAGAGTAAGACTTACGACAAAGAAGGGAGTAAATTGCTCTGATAATATATCCATGTTGTTTCACGTACAAATTCAAGGATCTTAAATTTGACATTCACCTCGAGCATTGCTAGTGAACCACCAGGCACCATACAACTGACAAACTGAGTCAAGTGAGCCAAGCCAAACCTTCTTACTGCAATTTTATAGCGTAAGTGTATGTATTTACATATTTTTCTTATTGAACATCCGCTGAATCAAATGTTTCGAGAAAAGACAGGCAGGAGGGCATTATGACCTCCCAAAGCCATGCTCGAGAACAAGATGGTTTGGTTGGCACTTATCTAGCGGATATTGAACAATCAAGCAAATGCTCTTCTTGCTAATCCTAAGCTTTGGGCCAAAACTCAGTTGGCTTGCCAGTTTTGGAAACTTTTTCAAGGACCTCATCAGCTTTGACGTTGCCAACGATGGTGACCTTCTGTTCCTTGATGTCCACATCGGACGACACCACACCTGCACAACACGAAAGCGTACACATGTGAAAAGGAAGAAATTCAAAACCATCAATACTTGGAAAAGATTGACACGGACAATCATACCACCAACAATCTTATACCACAATCCACCAACACCCTCGGGAGCAAGTAATTATATCCTCTTCACCCCTCTTTTGCAAGTGCACACACCCTTCTGGAGCAAAAAAACTTTTGAGTTCCCACTGTCTTCACATCAGGCTTGTCCGCATTCTTCAAAATGGATACGAAGGTGCTCTGTGAGAGCATCTTTTCCAAGCTCTTGTACCACAAATAGGTAGAGCGGAATAATACAGTGCATCCAGAGACAACATTGTATGTTGTCTTCCATCAGCAAAACCCGACAAGAATGAAACAAACGCAAAACCACAACTACGATTACCGTCATGGAATACAGGTGATAGGCTCAACTCCAGGAACTAACAACTGCTACTTCCTCATCAGGGTCAATCAGTGAGTCATAAAACCCACTTGCGAGGATGGTGTTGGCACCTCCACAGACCTAGAACTACAACTTTCTCCTCAAATTCACACAGTGAAGAGAAAAAAGATCTTAATTCTCGTTAGCGAACCGGGACCACCAGCATGAACAACAGCCTTAATAGAAGCACAAGTACTGAAGCTGTTGCTGATACTAGAAGGTAAAATGAAAATAGAAGGATATAGTTTACATACCGTCCATCTTAGCAATGGCTCTCTTCACTGCTCCGACGCAGCTCTCGCAGCTCATGCCAACCTTAAGGACCACAGTCTGGATACAGAATGCCATGACAGGCTTCGTTAAACATCTGGACCCAAAAGGCCGAGTAGGAAGAAGACAGCCAGAAAAGATGTGTGAAAACACTCTGATTTGCCTCCCTACTAAGGCAAACCAAAAAGAGTAAGGTCAACAGAGTAAGGTCAACGTCAGATGAAGTGAAGGAGTAAACATAAAAAAAATCAAGCGTTTCAGAAGAGCCCAGCTTCCAAGTACCAGGCTCCTGCCCATGGCATCAGACAACCAAAGACGCCCCTAGTTCTAACCAAGTCCGACAATCAGCTCTTTAAGAGGCCAAAATACACTTCTGCTGAGCTCTTCTAAACGGCAGCCATGTCCATCAACGACAGACACCGGAAAGGCTTGCTTCATCATTACAACGAGCCAGTGAATCGATGATCAACAGGAGACAGACACCCCGTCAGATGACCCCAGATCATTCTAACCAAATTGCTCAGCCGACAGTAATGGAAAAATTAACAAGCCCCTCGGATGAACGGATATGATGCGACAACAGATGTGGTTGGCGAGCGGCATGAAGACGCAAAGCAGGTCCTTCTCAAACGGACACTACGATTTGCTTCTTCAGGCACACGAGTTCGAACCGAACATCACACAAACAAACCAGAACACATTATTGAATCTTTAACTACAATTCAAAATCGCACATGCAAACCCGACCCGACCACTCGACCGATCGCTCCGACAGTAACACGAAATTCGACATCAACCGAGCAGTACTACAGACAAGTACTTGACAGACGAGAATCGGGTACTGTAATTCAGTACTGGGGAATCAGAAACGGATCAGCACGATTCGCATCGACATCCCTAGCCGAGGCAGAAGTAGAAGAAGAAGAAGAAGAAGAAAAAGAGGAAGAAGAAGTACGATTGGGTGTACTTCGTTACCTCCGTCATCTTGTAGAAGTGCGACTGAAAAGCTCGCAGCCAAAATTTGTCTGCCTCACGGAGGACGAGAGGCCGAAGGAGGATCGAAGAGCGGCTGCAGAGAAATGTGAAAGTCCTGTACCGGATTAACGTGCCCTGAGTTCCTTAAGAAGGCAGCAGCGAGCGAGAAGATCCAGGATCCAGATACTGTGACAACGACCTAGAGAGAGAGAAAGTGGTGGAGGCCCCGATGAGTTTGGCTCTAGAGATGCGGACAAATGTCGAGTCGAGATCGGATAACTCGCTTCAATGAACATTCGCTCTTTTTCTCTTTCTGACGACAACGTTTCTCTCTCCCTCTCTCTCTCTGTCTCTCGTGATTTCGACGTCTCCTGCTTTGCTTTGGCGCTACCATCTGCAAGATCCCCTCTTCGTCGCTCCGACGGCCCGCCGTCCTCTTCCAGACGGTAGGCCGCGACCTTCATTGCCGGTCATTTTCAACAGGACCCGTACGGGACTTGCGGTACCAATTTCGCTCTCTCTTTCGAGTTTTAATGTCTGCGAGCTTTTAATTCTTTTCCATTTTGGGTACGGTACAACATATTAAACAGATATAGTTCTTCATCAGATCCTTGCAATAACTGGGTTTTTTATAGAATTCTCGGCGTAAATGGTCATACTAGTTTGATATATACACAAATTAAATCTACACGCAATTTATTGCATATTACTGCATGACATGCATGCGTAACATAAGCAATCAGAACATGCACACTATTCTGATGTATAATATTCTGGAATATCCTGATTTATAATAGAACTTTCCATCTCTTTAAGTGCGAGTAGAATTCCGCATTTAAAATTAATACTCTAAATGCTCGTGCTCATTTCTGTGGGGAAAGAAAGGTCCGTAATGAACACCCCATCTAAATGTAACTCTTAAATAATTTTTTTCTGCTTTCTTCTCATCGATAAGTTTGTCTTGATGGCGTGTTACGAAAATTAAAGATATTCGGAAGAAGATATGGACGGTACCATAGGTTCTGCGCGTCCACATCAGAAGTCGTGGTTAACATCATCTCTATTGTCGTTGATACGTGCAATGTTTTGGAAATTGTTGCATCTTTGGCAATTTTCTGCTATGAAGAAAAAAATTTGCTGTATCTGTTTCCGGTATAATCAGGTAAAAGATTGTCACGCCCCTGATTTCCTATGAGATGCTGCTGACCATTGTATTACTATATAATGAAATATGCTTCTCTCTTTAGTTCCATTGTCCTCGTGAAGGATCAGCATTCTTCCAAAATAATTAGAATCTACTTAAATGAGAAAATCAAATCTTTAAAGCTATAGTTACATCTACGGACTATCTATTCCCTTAATTTACACTAACCCTGTGCAAGAATGAAATTAATACATGAATATGCTCATAAGATAATCTTGTGGCTGTTCCTCGTGTGTACTATAAGAATCATAAACTCGTATTTGTGTGTTGAAACATATTGCTTGCACTTCCATACCGTATCAGAGCACGAGTTCACTGGCATACAGTGGGAACAACCAGATTGGATTTATTTATTCAGTTATTAATAAATGGGATAAATTATGCCGAACTCATAACAAAAATTATGCTCAATTGTTCGTCATTAAATACTGTACAGGGACTGCTCTGGGCTTCCATTACATAATTAGTCCTCATGAACTAAATGCAAGCAATTAAATGGGAGAACATAATCATGATAACCGGCAATGGCGGGTAAATCGGTCAGTGAAAACATTTACTCGAGTACGTACTTGTACGAGGAAGGTGTACTCGCCCTGTACTCGCTCCTGTACCTGGACACGTGTACTTCCGAATGTACATCCCTCGATACTACACATTGACCGGCCCCTCCCGCCCCCGCCCCGCTCTACATATGAACTGCAGTCGTCGTTCCTTCGAACCCCTGTTGACTCTCGATGAACAATCTCGTAGTCGGTGGCGAATTTCATGGAGTGCGATTGCACTGTGACATTTCAGCGCAGTGCTGGGGAATTGAGGAGCGAGCGATCGATCGATGGATTGGATTATTGATTGATTGATTGATTGATGGATGGATGGATGGATGGATAGATGGATAAGGAATGGATGCTTTATGGAAGACTGCCGTGAACGATCGAGTGATTGATTGCTGGATGTGGTGTCGCAGTGCGAAGAATTGGGTTGGATTTTTGCCAGACCAATTCGCGACATGGGCCGTGGTTTGGTGATGTGAGCTTCTTGCGGGGTCGACGGATGGGCAATGATTGATTGCACTTTCGCTCGCTGCGTTTTCTCGCACCGAGGCCGCAATCCAATCCTTCACAGTGCTCGATCTTCGGGCTTTGGGCGGGTCGGTGGCGGCACCTGCTTGGCCTTTCCCCAGGCCAGAAAGCCCGGAGCGAATGGAATTCCACCGCCATCGCTGGTCGGAGCAGCGATGGCGAGCAGCGGGCCAAAACCTCGTCCGAATCGCGGGTTTTAGGGTTTAGAACGGCCTCCTCGAGAGCGGATCTCGGCGCGATGGAAGGAATCGTCTGCACGACTCACGATTTGGAAAGCGATCCCGTTCTCGTGCTCGTGCTCGTGCCATCGCCCTTGCGTCCTGTGGCGGGCCTGCACTTATCGTCGGGCAAGCTTGTGCTCACCAGCCCGCTCGCTTCACGCCGACGACTGATGGATGGATCGTGGGATTGATGTCAATCAAGCCTGTCAATTGTGGCGAGATCGCATCGCCCGAGCCAACATTTGGTCGGTAGATGAGCCCACCCTTCCTCCCCGCACAGTCGTCGCCTCGTGAGGATGCACTCGATTGACTTTGTGGAGATCACATCGAGGCCCTTTCCCGACGTGAATCGAGTCGTGGGAAGCATGCTGACAGACGATTTCCATTTCTTTACCCTTTTCTTCAATCCAAGAGCTCGCTGTGACGAAGGTCGCCGGTCGATTCACTATAAATTATTTGATTGGATTGATTCCTGTAGACAGATGGGATTTTTGGGAGATATCCCAGGAGCTCGATGTCCAATTCGAGGGCGATTGGGCTCTGTGTGATTGAAATTGGGCGAAGGTCGTGCATTCATTCCCAGGGAGCAGGGAAAGCTCGAGGAGACACGCAGTGAAGTGGGAGGAATATTGCTGTGGCATGTTCTCGTCTGCAATCGCCAATTCGGAACGTGGGGAGAGAGAATGGCGACAGATTTCTCGAAGCGAGGACGCATGTCAGCAACGCTTCTGTTGCAGTCGGTACGATAAAATGCTTGTCCGTTTGCCATCTCGTGTTAGCAGCCACGGCGAGGCACCAGTTTCCGAGCGAGCGTAGGGCAGAGCTTTATTTGGTGCATATTTTTTGCCCTTGTTTCTCTGGCTCCTCCACAGATTCCCATCCTGCCTCACGACTCGATGATGGAATCATCATCGAGGTTTGGAGCCTTGCTGACGTCAAGATCAGACCACTCCCTCGCAGCTCCATCATCATCATGTGGGTGTAATTTCACACTCCAGTCCAGAGTTTGAGTGGAACTTTGTCCTGGTGCAGGTCAAAGTGAGCGACTATGGCGGTGATCAGTGATGGTGGCCATGTTCCTTTCCCAGCACAGAAACAGCATCACGAGAATACCTTCCCGAACGTGGAGTCGTTGTGCATACATCGAGTGAGTGGCATTCAACAGAGAGATGTGCTGTAGTTGTCCACGTAGAAAACCACAACAGGACAGTACTGACCTCACCTCAAATTGCATTGGACCACATTTCATGGAGGGCTTACTTCCAGAAAGATCCCATCGATCTCTTTTGTGCAGTGCACTTCTCACAGCTCTTACTCTCCCAGACCTTCTGTAACACAGAAGACACCGATGGAGCTGTAGGGGAAATGTAGAGCTAGCAAAACCAGCTCCAAGCTGAGCATCCAAACTTCCTTCGTCACTTACTTTCTCCTTGCCCTGCAGCAATTCGCAATTTGCGTCGATGCTCCCATGGCCCGAGTGGACTGAGATGGTGAGTGAGTGGGTGGGGTGGGTGGTGCCTCGTGACCCACCTTCCCTGTGTCCATTACTCTGATCTCAAACCCTTTTATTCTCCTTCACAGATCTTCGGTTTCTGTCTCACGAGGGAGAGCCTCAGGACAGTGAGGAGGGAGAATTGAAGAAATCGGTAACAGACGCCTCGTAGTGAGACGGCAATGTCAGAGTTTTTCTGTACATCAAATACCAGCCATAGCTGTAGGTACTGATCGATTATCCGAGAAGAAGAGCCCGGAAATGAACCATCTCCCGCTGTCAACAGCTGGAGAGACGGACACAATGGATTACGTGCGCCGGTTTGATGGTGGAGATGAGGCACGAGAGGTGGATGATGTTATTGTAAGGCGTGCTTATCTTTCTCAAGTGTTCAGCATTGAGATCGAAATCTGAGACAGTGAAGTTTTCAATCTGATGATGAAGCTCAGAGACCAGATAAGAGCAGCAGCAATCAATACTCGTATGATGACCGATGATCGAACCTCTGCATGGGAGCATTCGTGTTTCGCATGACGCATCATTTCCCCCAGGGTACGAGTCCCTGATTATTGTCTGTGCTAGGGTGGACGGAATTCTTGCCGTCCATGATTGCTCATCTTCTGACAACTGTCGGCGTTGGAACTTGTGAGAATGTTAAAGTCACCGACATGGCCATGGACTGCTGTGTTTTGGTACTACGGTTAACCTCACTGAGGTCCACGGAACCTCAATTTGGTGGTTCAAAAATTTGGACCATGCTCAATTGAGTGCTCGTTGAGTCCAAATCAAGTCTTCTCTGAAGATTCTGTAATTAGAATTAATTGAATCATTCCAAAGGTGTCGGTTAATTAACATTTTCTCTTCAAATTTGCAGCTCAGAATCATTCTGGTTGCAAAATTCGGCCATGATCTCAACCCTGATATATCCTTTCACTTTGTTTTGAAATCATCACAAAGTTGCAAGATGGTTAGAAATTTGGATCTGTCATGAATCGAAACTTAGCTATAAATCTCTATGAATTTAAAGCGCTACAATTAAGAATCTGACAATTTCAAAGCTTACATGCCGGACAACGATAACTTAACATGTAAACGAAAGCATGGTACAAATACAAAAACTATCAATGTCAAACTGTGCCATTGTACTCGTAAATCTAAAGTAGTGATCAAATGCCTATCAAACCGTGTCACAGTTGACAATTAAAGACGCAAGTTCTGGAAAGAAACTATTTCCGGAGCGTGGGAAAGCGATGGCAGCTGATAGAAAAAAAAATGTCAATATAAGGTACAATGGCAGCTGATATGATGGTGAGAGATGGAACTGAGAGAGAAAGAGAGAGACTGTAACTATCCAAACGACGTGATTATCAACCAATTGTGAGCGGGAAGTGTAATATTTCAGGAGGTGCAGAAGTATGCAGATTTCTGAGAGTAATTCGAAGCTTCAAAATGTTGGAGAATTGTCAATGGTTATAGCTCGGACTGTGTGCCTGGCTTTGTCGAGAGATGGAAACAAACCCAGACAGTAAAGACAAGCCAAAAGCCGAGAGAAGTAAAGGGGTGTCACTGCATTCAAAAGAACATGCGGTGCCAAACGAACATACAGTGAAAGGGTTTTCGTGATGAGATGCGCTGACCATGTGAAAGGTATACGAGATACTAAATTGAACAGAAGTTATAATTGCTAATGATATGGTGCATACAATGTTTTGTTACGATCTTTCCTGAAATAGATTGTACGACAGATGATTTTAAGTTCTGTATTGCACTTTCATGGTGTCCAGACAATGGACTCAGCAGGTTTATGACCACCATTCCATTTAATGATTGGCCTACCATGTTTGTTTCTCTTGCAGTTGTCAACTGAAAAGCGTATTAGATGATGTTTGCTCAGAACAATCAAGCCTCAGATAAATAGAAGATTTTCAGAATGACCAGGCAGACAATGTGAGAGTTCGACATAATGTGATAGTTCCGAACGTGAAGTAATTCAGAGGGACAGAACGATCGAGCAAATTTTACATTTCCCATTAAACCAATTGACGTAAAATACAATATCTTGACAAGCTGCTAGAAGCTTGAAGTTGGAAGCTGGAAACTGGATCTGTACATCCTACAGGCCCTGGTGCACAAAGCAGACGGCCGACGCCACTCTGCCTATCTTCTACTGTACATGATGCAGCTGCTCAGGCTTAGAACAAGCTGTTGAAAACTGGCGTGTGGGTAAACTGCTCCGTCAGAACCAGTGCCAGAAATCCGAGCATGGCGAGTCGGCCATTCCAGCGCTCAGCCCTCGCGGTGAAAGGACCATTGCTGCGAGCATCGGTCGACTCTCCGTTCAGCATGGGCACGATCGATGCGTAGGCGATGAGCGGCACGAGTGCAACGTAGAACACCAGCCCGGTGCCCTGAGTGTACAGCTGCTCGAAGACTGTCAACCCACTCATCCTCTCTGCTATGGCAGCCCAGACAATCCCCACCATCGCCTGCAGAATCAGAAAGAGAGAGATCAGATCAGTACGTGCATTCATTCATGAAGCCCAAGAGACATCGAGGCCATCTTCAGAATCTGAATATCAGAACTCGAGTTGTGAAGCATGAGGAAGAATTCATCGAGGTCTGAGAAGTGCCAGAATTGGCTGGCAGTAGAAACTGAGCTCGAGCTGAGAATCTTAGAGTCTGGCAGTCTGAGAGTCTGAGAGTGAGAGATGAGACGTACCAATCGGCCATTGATGGTTTCTGGTGCAGCACCGTCGAAGGCGAAGATGCTCTCGAGGCTCCTGTCGCCAGTTTCTGGGCGTCTCTCGACCTCGGGGCGAGGATAGAAGGACCCGGAGGTGGGCTTGGCTCCGAACACCGACTGCTTCTCGGACTCGTTCGTCTCCTGGTTCTCCAGAATCTCTTCCCTCGTAATCTCCTTCTTCGTGTTCTTGTCCACCGTCTCCCTGATTCCTTCACATCGGATCGACTTCATTCTTCTGGCCGCCGTCGGTCTCTGCAGCATGGCATACCTCACAATGCTTCTGCTGCTGCTGGAGATCGAGTTCTTCAAGCTGGAGCTCAACGGAGCACTCCTCAATCCTCCCAGAAGTGCAGCTGGAGCTGTCATTGTCACTGCCATTGTTGCTGAACTAAGTCAGATGCTTCCAACAAAGATCAGAACGAGGACTTTTCGCAGAATGATGATAGTTGAAGAGAATTGCTGCCAATTGCTACTGGAAGAATCTGGTGCTGAGTATGAAGATAGACGCTTTGAGCAGAATCTGATGTCTTGACTGAAGAGATGGTGTCAATCGAGGTAAGTAGGGGAGGAAAAGTGCGTTTGATGTTGAAAGAGGAAGCTCGATGGGGATTTATAGTGAGGAAATTTGCTCAAGGAGACATAAAAGTGTTGCCACTTGGCAGGAGGGAGAAGGCAAGGCGATGGTCCACGTCGACGTCGGGAGCCCAAAAGGGTCCAGATTCAGGGCGACGAAGTGAGCGACATTTCGGAGGGACAGTAAATCAACAGGTCGCCCGGCTCGAGTTTGCGTGGCATGAGGGTCGTGTCTGTAGACATCTGTCACCACTAGAATTACCATGTCGACCTGCAAGTTTCCCCCACCAACCAAGTGTGGAGCCGAATGGCTGGACTGTGATGGCACAGCCACTGCCTCCTCCTCCTCCTCCTCCTCCTCAGTTCTCCATCTCCACCTCGAGCAGGAGTATGGTCACAATTCAGAAAGAGCTGACATCATCTCCAGCAGTTGAAGTTCTCATTCGGCTTCGAACCGAGCAGCTGCAGCTGTGTCCAATTCCATACAGAGAGCACTAGCTGTCGTGCGATCCATAGGATAGAGCAATCACGGTCGGTGATGCAGGATTATATATTTCCCATTGTGGTTTAGAATTTTGGTGCTAGAAAGCTCCGTGTTACTCCACTCGTATCATCCACGTCGGGCTTGATGGGGTCTTCCATCCCTAGGCAGTAAAATTCTTACTTGATTCCCAGCAGATGCAATCACATTATAAATTAAGAGACCTCGATTAGCGTCGTTGGCTCAGCGCATCATCATCTTTCCCTAATCCTGAAAGTGCCATTTTTGCATGACGGTGTTTGGTTTGCTCATCACGAAACAACTCGTACCAATGTCATGTCCAATGGCGAAGACATAAGGAATGCCTTCCAGCAGAGGATAGATATTCAATCGACCACTTATTCCGGGCCCAAATGCCTGCGCAGTGGGGTTGCTCGAAAGTTCTATTAGACCACACCTTGTATATGCCCTGGACCTTGTGAACATTCCAAAGCTAAACTGTAATTAAAATCTTCATAAGTGAGTGCAGACTCCTTGTCTCGTGATGGCATCCCTGGAGTTCTTCGAAGAAAGCAGAGCCATTTTCTGATTATGAAAGGTAGTATGCGCAGATAGATTGTGGTCAGGTCGAAGAGAAGATTCAGATTGCAAATCTCTCTCTCCTCGATGCCGAGGCCGAGTGGAATCGAGTTCGTGGGTGCAGTGTTTATTTGGCAGGTCGAGATGCGAGGAAGTCACATGGCAGGGCAGGGCAGGGCAGGGGAGCTTGGGCCATTGTTTCTGGCTCATTTTCACATTAACTCGTCGCTGCATCTTGAATTTGCGATGAATCGTGGATAGACCTCACCTTTCCAAATTTCGTTGGTCGATCATGGCGACAGCTTGGTTCTTTTGACGCGAATGATTCGATCGATGAACGCAGTAGTACCTCATCGGCAGGGCGAGATCCACTCCTATAGCTCCGGAATCCATTGGAATTGTCTAGCAACGAAATAAGTTAAAAGTTTCTCGACAGGCGAATTGTTCTGATCGGTGTCAGTATTCTCGTTGTGATTCTGAGAGAATTCGAAGCTCTGAGAAGGGAATCATCTCAATGAGCAATGCCTCCGGGAAATTGAGCAGACACTGACATACATCCGCACGAAGGTACGCTAAAGCAGATCCTACTTCGATAGCAGTCCAGATTGAAGAAAGCTCCCGCAGAATTCCTCTGTGCCCTACTTGGCGCTTGGTGACCTAATCGGGTCAGGCCATTGGGATGAGACTCGAAGGACCTTCAGGTTCTCCCTCTGGCAGTACCTTTGTTTAATTGAGCACACGAATTGCGTTTGGAAGCCTGTGAAGAATGGAAGGCGCATGCGAATGCTCCCTTCTCGATCTGAGTGCAGTCGAAATCCGAAGACTTTTGCATGCTCACGGCTTATCCTGGCTTGACAGAAGAAGCCTCGAGACTGCATCGCCCGGACAGTCCACAGCTTTTTGGGCACAATAGATTCTCGGGTAGCTGTCGAAGGAGGAAGAATCCGTGAGAGAATTGTCGTTGCACAAAAGCTGATAGCGATGAAAGCAGCAGCAAAGCAACCTCCCTCGGCCCTCCGCAGGTACAACTCTGTGCAGGCAGCTGCAGCGAGTTGGAATCGACAGAACAGTCACCGAAAAGCCACAGCAATAATGCAAATGCGAATGCAAATGGTTTCCTCTGGTCAAAAAAGGAGAAATGACATCTGAACAAACTTCTTACACGAATTGACCAGCAGGGAGGAATTCAGGGACCAGGGCTGCTGGGAACTTGTGTTGTGGGCTCATGGCGGAAGGAAAGGCGGGCGGGGGCAAGTTCCACCACCACCAGCCAGAAGATGCGCATGCATGTCGTCTCCCAGGTTGACTTACCACCAACAACAACAACTGTACTGGCGAGCACCAAAACTGCAATTCTTGACTTCCATGTCTACAAAGTACAGCAGTACACCGTGAAACAATCACTCGTGTCACCGCCAACAGCAAGGACATGTTTTCATCTGAGACTTATTTAAGGAGCACCGGAGGTCGTTCAAATCTACAGGCAGGGAGGGAGGGGCGGAGGGTGGGAAACAACTGGACTGTAGTTTCAATCATAGTATCCCTCGATTCGCTCGTTTATCATATAATACTGACCAATTCCAGCATCTATTTCCGTGCCGAACTCGACTTCTGCTGAGCTGAGCTTAGCGGAGACGTATGTATTCGGCCGATCCCTGTGTCAGACTCAGTTACATTCATCACGTTCTACAGCCCCCGTGTGTGTTTATGGGGTAAATCTCCCCATCCCTATGACGATCTCTGAACTCCTGGAGTGCTAGAGCGACCTGTCTGTCGCTCTGAACATGAACTCTGAACATGAACTCCAACAATCAATGTATGTCATCTCTTCATAATCATCTCTCTCTCTCTCTCCCTCTCTCTCTCTCTCATCAAACCTTGCAAAGGGAAGGATGGAAGGAAATACATTGAATACGGTAAAATATGTCTAGACGTATATCAAAGCTTGCATCTCTAAGCACAAGAGTTGCAGTAGGAGTCGGATGTCTAGGATACGGGATGAAATTATGACATGATGCTAGCAGAAACTTTGGACACAACATGGACCACAACAGCTGACAAATGATAATACCGTTCTAAGGAAGTCAGACCTGGCTATGGCTGCGGGCCGAGAACGTCCTCCTGGCCGATGTCGACGTTGGGACTGCCTCATCCCATTCTCCTTTTCCTGCTCGTTGGAACCCAAACGACCAACTTTTGACAGATACGGAATTTTGGCAGAGAAATGCGGATGGAGTATATTTCATGGAGAATGAATGAGTGAATGAGAGAAAGGGAGTTGCTGAACGAACGGCATCGACCAACGGTATCAACTCTCGACTTAGAAAATGCTGTCAGGCTGTAAGAGGTACGCACGACTGGCAGAGATAAGGATCTCCATGATCGATGGAAGGGAAGGCAAGGGAAGGGAAGGGATGGGAAGGGCTCAGGGATGATAGGGAGGGTCCATCATACTCGATGGAATACTGCAGTACTGGCCCACTGGAATACTTGTTTGTGAATACCATACTCGACCCATAAGCAGAGGCAGCAGCAGCAGCAGCAGGTGGCGGAGCCTGCTGAGTAGGGTTGGAGGCACAGCCAAAAAGGCATGCCCCCGGGCGAGGGCATGGGGGCATGCCCAGGGGCATGCCTCATTTGCATTTTGTGTATGGGGCATGCCCGTATGTATATACGTATTAATCATACTGTAACTTCGGAATATTCGTATATGCGTCGTTTTTTTTCTTCTATCCAGGTGCGAAACTTTTTATGAATTTACGTCCCAGGTATTAAATCTGGTCTGGAAACAGCACTCAGACTCTGGTGTAGGGATATAGTGGACGTGGAAAACTCTTTAGTGTAATGGTTTAGTAGTTAGAATGTGATGTAGTTGTATAGTGCATGTGGATATCATCTCACAGTATATTGTGCTGTGTTCTATAAATTATAAAGCATTGTTCAGTATACACTAATTACAACTAATTGTATATTAATTATATTTTAATTATAGTTACTTATTATACGTATACTCATGTATTGTACTTAATTTTATGTATACTTTGTATATACCGGATATATATGTATTGTGATACGGGCATGCCTGGGGGCACGGGGCATGCCTTTTGATCTGGAAATGGGGCACGGGCATGCCTGGAAAAATTTTATCGTGCCTCCAACCCTACTGCTGAGCTTCGCTGTGACGACCAACCGTGAACAAGAAGATGATGTTGACCATCGACTGAGTTTGAACTCTGGCTGGCAGCTGGCACGCTGTCTGGCAGTGCTGGCACGAGGTTCAGTCCAGGTCGAGGTTGATTTCCATATGAATCCAGTTCCCGGCCAGAGAGGTGTAGATCCGGACCTGCACTTTTTTCAGTCTAGCAAAACCACGAAGGAATATAAATATATTTATATATACAAATATGCGTATCACGAGCTCTATGGCCTTAACTTTACCTGGTGTTTCTTCGTACCTTTCTATTGGCCACATGCTACTGGCCTCGACGACGACGACGACACCCCGTTCCACGGCAGCACGGGTGGTTCTTGAGCGCCCAGCTCGTAGATCACGAAGTTCTGGTTCCTCACCTTTGGTGCAGTACTTCTTCTCGTCATGGGTGTTACAGCTGCCTCCAGTTCATCAGCTGTCGAATCGATCGGTGCTCTCGATCTTATTTTTTGGGCTGGAAAGATGTGTGGGCTATGCTCTACATGTGCAAGTTGGTCCATAAGGGGAATCGATCTGAAAATCCTTAATACCTCGACATCAACAGAAGTGATACATTATATAGTTCAGTCATAACCCAAAGTCAAGAGGGTCTAGATTCTCTGTTCGACAGTTTGATATGAAGAAACTGAAGCTATTATAAGCTCTTCTTTTTCTAATTTTCACTTTTTTAAGCCAGGGACAAGGTGCAAAGTGAACGATGAAACTTCAATTACTTTCGCTGAAATGAAGTTCTAGGAGTTCTACCTTGCATCGAATGGCAAGCTCAGTGGTTTTACCTCCCCTTACTTTCTCACACATGTTCACTCACTAGCGTTCACATGAATCCACTGCTCGAATCCATCTAAAAATATATTACAATCGGCAAGCGAAGATGCTCATAAAACTGCAGAGGGAATGACAAAGCACCTTCCTTACGTCCAAAAGTCCGAAGGTTGGTAATCGTGATCTAGCTTGTCTTAAGAAGGAATGTGTCCCCATGGTTCTAGTCTTTGCAAACTTCGTCCATTGTGCTCACACTCTTTTCTTCCATTTGAGTGTTCCAATTGCATCGTCGCCCACCATCTTTCTCTTTTCTCGAAGAAGACTCGATTGCCCTCCTGCAAGCATGCGAGGCAAGGAGCCGTTAGCCCGAGGGTTGGATTCACTCCCTCGTTCAGACTGAGCAGTGCAACGATTCAAAGGCAGACGATGGTTTGATAAGAGTTGGTCGAAATTCGGTAGAGAGCAAATGTGAGACTTAATAGGGCCTCGGATGGAAATCAGCATCTTGAGACATGGGAAGGGGCCAAGAATTAAAAGCAAAAAGTGCTCGGAAGGACGAAAAGGGGAGGAGGAGCACATGCAAGCACTTTGCGGAGAGATGGATGACCCGGTGTGGGTAGTTGAGGACTTTCATGGCGGTCAAACACATTCGAGTGCACGAAGGCTTTATGCCAATGCCAAACACTGAACCCCAATGCACTGTGCGAAAATAAATATAATAAAACAAAATTTGTCAATGCTTCAATGGGGGCCTGAAAGGCGAATGGGTATCATCACCCCCGTGCACCCTGCAGCAGCAGTGACTGAGAGTGTTGAAGAGGAATCCACCACATGCAAGCAAGAATCTCCACTGCTGCACGAAGATTCATCGTGTCCATGCCAAGCCCAATTCAAACCCTTCGTCATGAAGAGGAGAGAGCATGAATCACGGATACAACGAAACGGAGTCCGATGCCTTCGTAGAAGTGAGCTGCTCGTGCGATCAATCATCCATTACCCGTCCGGTCCATTCCTTGAGCTGCGACCCAATCCAGAAACAGTAGCACTGTATTTCAATCCGAATGTACTCCAAATGATACCCTCACTACAGTACTCGAGATCGTGTTATCACGAGTCAGCACAATTCGGCAGTCAGCCAGTCGAATTATAAACTACTGAAGCTTAGGGACGAGCTCTAGGATTTTATTCCCAATCCTTCCTAATCCACTTCCCAAGTGGGACGGACACACATGCAGAAGGCCATGCAGTTCTAAGAAAGTACGATTTTTCTAAAGAAAATCTGTCTTCCAAACATGGACTAGGAGTTGATGAGGGCCGATTAGAATGAGGCTGTAGGGAGCTAAGGAGGCATAGAAGGCTGTACCCTGAAGTGCTCCATGAGATCCAAGCACACTAAGATGTGTATCTTAGCGAGTGCTTAGATACTACGGCGAAATATGCTGACGCCTTCGTACCCGAGCTCGTCTTTGTCGCCCACAGTGGCCCATGCATTGGCCCCACGGAGGGCGAGGGGAGGGAACGAGGAAGAGGACGACGACGACGACGACGACGACGAGGGGGTGGATGATAAAAGCCACACCTGCAAATCCGGACATGCGTGCATGCTCTGCTCGCTCGACGCTGTCGATCTGGTTAGTTTCAGCGACTTGCATTTGATTCGAGGCCCTTCTTGTGCATGTGGAGAATGCCAATGGTGGACAAGGATGTGCACTTTTCAAGCAGTTGGCTAACTCAAAAGCGTAGGGGGAGAGAGAGAGAGAGAGAGAGAGAGACATGGCTCAAGAGCGATGTGATGATAATTCGGGCGGCCACTAAAGGGGCGAAATCGATTCCTCTTGAGATTTGAATTGGAGAGGAACACTATGGACCAGGACGGAAGAGGGGGCGGGAGATGTTGCTTTGATTGCTGAAACGACTGCTCTTGCTGCACGAGAACATGGCCAGGAGTAAGATGATGATGACGACGACGATGCAACCGATCGCCCAGTGAATAAGACGTCAACGACATGAAAGAAGAGAATGCAGATGAAGGAATGCAAATAATGCGGCCCCGAAGTCAGTTCCCTTGGCTCCCATAACCACAGCTCACGACTCCTTGACTTCCCCCCTTCGTCGTCTTAGACCCCCTCCCTCCCTCCCTCCCTTTGGCGTCTTAGACCAGATAGCGTTACCGGGGTGAGTGAGGGCGTTATCGGTCGTCGACGTGGAGGGCGGGGGATGGGGGGCTGGGCTAGCGAAGTCTCCGACTGGCTCCGACTCCGACCGCTCGGGGGGTTGGGGGTGGGGGTGGGAGGGGTGGGCTTGTCGTCAAAGTCGTTGGCGCGACAGGCGAAAAAGGGGGAACGAACAAACGCTCGTTGACGACGCCGGGAATCATGTCCGCCTCTCGGGCACAAAGTACGCTCCTCCGACTTTGGCAGTGTACTTCCGTTGGGGGAGGGGGCAGGGGCAAGGGGCGGGGGGGGGGAGGGGGGAGGAGCAAAGGGGGAGGGGGATGGGGGTGTGGGGGGATTGGGGTTGGGGGCCGAAAAACACCTTTTGCAAGCGGCAAAACCGAGATGGTGGGACCGTCCTCGACCCCCGCCCTGTCTCTCTGTGAACGACGACGACGGAGGGACGGACGGACAGATGGACTAACGAACAGACGGCCGGAAACCCAACTACCGATGATCTGCCTCGATGGCTCGAGTGCCGCTGTTCGGTTACCAGGGGTCCGTCGGTCTTCACGTGCGAACCGGCGAGGAGCGTAACGTCATTAAGGCGAACACTGGGGATCGAATAGCGTAGCCCCACCCGCCCCCCGCGAGAGGGAGATGAGATCCTAAACTGTCTGGCTGAGTGTGTGCAGCAGCCCCCTCTGCCAGCCCCAAGCCCGAGCCCAAGCCCAAGCCCCCAAGTATGTACCCGCCCCGTACCCTCCTGGGAAAAGCGGGCCTCGTCTCACGGCCAAAGACAAACGGCTATTTCGTAACATCGTACGCGTCCCGACCCGATGACCTAAATCCTGGAAAAGGTGGCACTGCAAGGGAAGAGCTTCTTCCACGAAATCGGATTCCCCCCTAGGAACGCGAATGTACAGCAGCAGCAGCAGCAGCAGCCCCGAATCCCAGACCTCGCAAGAAAGGGGAGGGAGGGCGACGATGAGGGTCAGTACTCTGCAGCCCCAGTCGACGCCACTGGCCCCAGGCCCGCGTGGCCGAGCTCCGAGAACGGGCACCTGTCCCGGTTCCGATCGGCAGTCGCAGTCGAACTCCTGAAAGGATTGGATGAGCATCGGAATCAGTTCGCCCCCACTGACATGATGGTGTGTGTGCCTAGCGTCGCCATCGCAACGGTACCAGCGCTACGAGCTCACTAACCATTTGTGCTTTTATTTTCCCCAACGACTTCGAATGTATTCGGTGAAATGGATCGAGCTTTTAAGAAAATGACCCGAAGAATTATTGCTTCGAATGAAAATACTTCTTCATCATTTCTCTTATTTTACTTGCGATTCGTTGCAACGGTACGAATGCTACTAGCTCGCTGGAAATTGTGCTTTAATTTCTCCCAACGACTTCCGATGTCTTTGGTATATTGTATTCACCTTTGACACAAATCAACTGGATTTTATTGCTTTAAATGAAATTTATCAACCATGGTTGTTCTGATCTTACTCGAGTTTAGTCGCAACGGTGCGAACGCTACTCGCTCACAAAAACTTTGCGCTTTAATTCTCTCCCCACGACCTCGAATATATTCGTTAAGACAAAAAAGATACTCAATATATTCACCAGTGTTCTGATTTCCTTGTATCGAATCCTTTGCATATAAGGAAACAGACTTGAATAAAAGAGATGGGCCTTGCTATGAATACAAAATTATCATGACACGTACTCAAGTTAGAAAGAGGGATAGAAGGGAGGCAAAAGGAATTAACAAAGTAATGAAATTTTATTGTATACTGTATGAAAAAGCTGAAGAAAAACAATCCAGGACGTCAAATGGAAGAAGAGGGACGGTCTCAATTGTAATGACTCAATGTTTCCAACAGCGACTGTTATATGTCCGACATGAAAAGGTCTAGAATGAGCTTCATAAAAAAATATCTTCCTCTCGAGAGAAGAGTCGGAAGCACGATGTACATGCAATGCACACACGCTGTCGAAACTATCATTACCACATCAGTAATTGCAAGTATTTGGAACTTGCGGAAAGATTTGATCTAAACCCTAACGCGGGGTTTAGATAAGATAGGTCGTGGAGATGGGTATTCCTCGAGGGATTTGTTTGTACGAAAGGCGGTTGTATGTTTGTGATGCGACAGGGCGTCGGAGAAGTCATTTGCATCAATTGTCAATCAGAAGCCAGCTGCCAGCGCCAAGGCTGCCGTCACTTTGCAGTTGACGAGACGTACCCCTTTGCATGTGTGTCCGGAACGGTACAGTCTCTTCAGAACAGCATCGAGCTCGTAGAGGGGATCCGTCAGGGGGGGACGGGGGACGATCCCAGGTCCCCCCGCCCCTGCTCAGGCACGCGTCGCCAGGCTAAGGGACGCACGGGAGCCGGATCCCGATGCGGTCGGACATCTGGCCCGCCAGGCCGCGGAGTTGGGGTTGGGGTTGGGGACACCGCCGGCTTAGAGGCGGGGGCTGATTTGGCGATGGCGCCGAGAGGGAGGGAGGGAGTGCGGGGGAAATGCAACGGGAGCCAGGGGTGGCAACGAGTCTCCCGGTGGGACCCACGGGGGCAAGACAAGCCCCAGCCTTGATGAGCTTGTGGGGCATGGCTGCCCCAAAGCTCGACGACGGGGCTACGAGCTGCAGCAAGAGCCGCATCAGCAGGAGGGAATGAGGGAGGGAGGGAGGGCTTGTGGCAGCAGCAGCAGCAGCAGCCCCAGCCCCAGCCCCTCCCTTCCCAAACTGGCCCAATCCAAGCGAACCCCCTTCGCCTTGCCACTGTGCAGATGCGCCGGTGGCAAGAGCAGCAGATCCCTCCCCTGCTGCTACTGCGGTACGGTCCAGCAATCCCGGCGACCTGCAGCCACAGCGGCCATGGATCGAGAGAGGGGAGAGCACAATTGGCAGCAGCCGTTTGACCTCAACCGACCGTCATCCCGAGTCTCATTCGCCTCGCCCGACCGACCGACTGGCCGAACGACTCATGCCACGGCCAAGGACATAGAGCGAGAGCAGGGGAGGGAGGAGGGGCAATGGGAAGGGCGAGGTGGGGACATGGGGATTCGTAGACTTGACGAATGCAGGAAGGAGGAGGAGGAGGAGGAGCAGCGGATTCACTGTTCGGGACAGAAGGAATGAATGCTGCGCTTAGACAGCACAGCAGTCGCCGCTGCCAAGAGGCCTAGCCGCCCTCTTGTCCATTGCGCTTGTCGGTCTCGTGCATGGCACGCTGAGAGGCCGAGAGAGAGAGAGAGAGAGAGAGAGAGAGCGTAGCGAGCTGGGGGAGCCCTGGGGGGGAGGGGACAAGGGGAGGGGTTGTGGTGGCGGTGGTGGATTAGTGACCTTGGTTGGAGTGGGAACGCCCCCGTCCAGTTGGACTGTCCTGCGAGGGGAGCTGCCGTCTTTGGCGACATGGGATATGATAGATTGTTAGACCACGCGCAGCCGCTCTTCGTCGATCCATGCACGATTCTCCATCTCCTTCCGACCGCCATGAGCTGCAGGGGGCCTTCATTGATTTTCGTCACGACCGATGCGACTCCCCACCACGACGACAAATTGCAGCTTCCGAGACGATTGGGCTTGGCAGGAGGCCCTCCGATATGTTGGCGCTCGTGGGCTTAGGCGCAACGCGGACCGGGCAGGGCAGCGGTCTCTGCATTCATCTTCATGCAGGCCCCGCGACAACCGAAGCCCGAAGCAGGCGATTATGGATTCTAGACTTCAGTGGTCAATTAGAATGTAGAAGCACCAATAGCACCAATAGCACTAGTACCGGCCGTATCACAGGGGATTGATTGAAGGGAGGGGTCGACCGCCAGGCAGCTATCTTCCTCGGCATTTGCTGCCCCGCAGTGCTGCAATTGAAGGCGCTCGCTCGCTGGATCGATCGATCGTGGGATTTTTTGCTGCTTTGCGGAGTGCGGGTCCTTCCTGTGCGACATTTATTGTTCAGTTAGCACCTGCCACTCGGTGGCTCGCGTTCGAGCTAGAACTCTCCGATGGGAAATGTAATTAGAGTCCGCCAGCAGCAGGAACCGGGGCGACGATGAGTCCTTCCTCGCATACTTGCCCCGAGTGGCGATGACCGACGAAGACGACAGCCCTTTTTTTTTCAGTGCAGTTTTGATTCTTCGCCTCGTGAGAAGGATGCCCTCCCACCCGTGCGTGTGACGGCAGCATTGCAATAGCATTAGCATTAGCATTAGCGTTTGCAGGACGACGAGCTGGCAACGATGCACTTGGAGCACGAAGACGTCGAGCCAATCCAGAATTCCAGCCCGGCACTTTCGTCACTCTTCGCCGGTCTCGGTTGTGTATAGCACATTCATTGCAATCCTCCTCAACTCCACACTAGCTTCTATCATTCTCTCCAATCCTTTTGCTGATCCCCATCGTTCTCTTCGAGCTTTATTCCTCTCTTCCCATTCTGCACACTTCCATCTTCTCTTCAGAGCATTGCCAGTAGCCAGCGGTAGGAAAGCCATCAGAGCCGAGCTGCCAGGTCCTCCGGCACATGTACAGAGTTCGTCGAGGTCTGGTGGATATGGAGGACAGCTCCAGCAGCAGCAGCTGGAGGAGGGATCGGGGGGTCTCGGATGGGCCGGCAGGGGTACAGAAACAGGTCAGGCACCAGAGACGGGCGCGGATCGGTAGCGGGTGCTGGGGGCTACTGCTGGCGCTGCTGGTGACGATGATTTGCGGCGCTTCGGGGCTGAATTCCGAGGGATTGGCGCTGCTGGCCTTCAAGAGGGCGGTGCTGGACGACCCGAGGCAGACGCTGAGCGACTGGAACCAGGGCGACGCCACTCCGTGCAACTGGACGGGCATTTCGTGCGGCGCCGGCAGCCAGAGCGTGGAGCAGATCTCTCTGCCCAGGAAACGATTGCTGGGCCGGATCGTGGACGACCTCGGCAACCTGACCAACCTGCGGCGGCTGAATCTGCACGACAACGCCTTCTTCGGGTCGCTGCCGGCCGACCTCTTCGGCTCGTCGGCGCCCCTGCTGAAGACGCTCTTCCTGCACAACAACAATCTGTCGGGGCCCCTGCCCGCCTCCATCGACCGCCTCGTCGCCCTCCAGCATTTGGACATCTCCAACAATGGCTTCGTGGGCGACATCCCCCCGCAGATTGCAGCGTGCACTCGCCTGCTGACGCTTCTTCTGGGGGGCAATGACCTCTCGGGGCCCATTCCTGAGGGCCTCGGGAGCGCACTGACGTCGCTGCGGTCGCTGGATTTCTCCTCCAATCGGCTCAGCGGCACCATTCCTCCCGATTTTGGCAACCTCACGGTTTTGCAGCTGAACCTCTCGAGCAATCAGCTGCAAGGCGCGATTCCTGCCAGCTTGGGCAACCTGCCGGACTCGGCCTCGTTGGATTTCAGCAGCAACAATCTGTCGGGCCCGATCCCTCGGGACGGAGCTCTGGCAAATCAGAGCCCCTCAGCCTTTTCGAACAATCCGGGGCTCTGCGGGGCTCCTCTGGCGACTGCGTGCGCGCCGTCGGAGGCGCCCTCGCCCGGGGCTGCGAGCGCCCTCGGGCCCTCCAGCCCCAGCCCCGCCGCCGTGACGATGAGGAAGGCGGGGCTGAGCACAAAAGCTCTGATCGCCATCGTGGTGGGCGACTCGGTGGGAATTCTGGTGATCGTGATCGTGTTCGTGTACTGCCTGCGGAGGAGATCCAACTGCCAGAAGCCGAAGAAGCGGTACGAGAATGGGAACGGGAACAATTCCAGTGACAATTCGGCGTCCAACAGCCAGAGCTGGGGGCTGGGCTGCTTCCCGGTGTCGAAGGACGGATCGGAGGCGTCGGAGAAGATCGAGCAGGGCGAGCTGACGAGGCTCGACAGCGACGTGAAATTCGACCTGGAGGAGCTGCTGCGGGCGTCGGCCTACGTGCTGGGCAAGAGCGGGGTGGGCATCGTGTACAAGGCTCTTCTGGAGGAGGGCGTGGCCGTGGCCGTCAGACGCCTCGGCGAAGGGGGCGCCAACTCCTTCAAGGAGTTCGAGCACGAAGTCCAACTCGTCGGCAAAATTCGCCATCCCAACATCGTCAGCCTGCGCGCGTACTACTGGGCCGTCGACGAGAAGCTGCTCATCTACGACTTCATCCCCAACGGAAGCCTGGCCCAAGCCCTGCATGGTTTGTCCCCCGCTCCCTCCCTCCCCTCCCACGGTTTGTCGTTTCTGTCGACGAATTCTGTTGCTGGCTGGCTCTTCCTGGCAAGATGTCTGTCTGTCAGCCATGATTCAAGCTTTTCTCGATGTCTGTGATTGCAAGTCTGCAAGTTAGTAATACTGTGGGTCAGTTTGCATCGGGGAGCTTCTGCGCTCGATGCCCGACGAGACACTGGAGAGCAGGAATTATGATTAAAATCCTCGCGAGGCAGAAATAATAATCTGTGGAACGCATGGTACGTGACATCCGTCCGCCATCATCCGTCCGCCATCATCGGTGCGCGGATCGAAGGAGAAAGTGGTCCTTGTGCCGAGAGACGACTCAATATCCGATGAATGATGATTTGGTCGTGGAGCAATTCGCGAATCTGCGTGCCGATGTCTCGGACACGCGGAGGCCAACCGCTTTAATTTACTGACGGATTCAGATGTCGTTGTCTGTTGGCGGATGAATGGATGAATGAATGCAGCACGAACGCCGGATTCTCCCGTGAGCACGCCGCTCAACTGGGCCGAGAGGCTCAAAATCGCGCAGGGAGCCGCTCGAGGTCTGGCCTACATCCATGCGTGCGGGGGTAAGCACAAGCTAGTGCACCGCGACATCAAATCGTCCAACATTCTCCTCGACGTCGACATGGAAGCCCGCATCTCCGATTTAGGTCTGGCTCGACTCCAAAATCTCGCTGGAGGGAGTGTCATCGCACCGAAACCAGCAGAAGGCGAGAGTCTGAGCACGAGCTCCGCTCCCTCGTCCATCCAAGGCCTCTCAGGTACCGTGGCAGCAGCATTCTTTCCTTTCTCCCTGTCAGTCGGTATCTGCATCTGTAGCATAAAATCTCGGCATCTCTCTCGTACATATGCAATCTCACTTCAGAGCTGGAGGGAAATCTCAATCGCCCTCGCCCTCGGATGAAGTTTGAGTGGAAGTCAGTAAGAACTGATGGAGATTGACTTGCTGGTGCAGGTGGTCTCGGAGGAAGCGGAGGAGTGGGAAGGAGGGGCCCTCCAGCGAGCGACCAACGAATCAGTCCGAGCGCGAGCTATTATCCCCCAGAAGCGAGCGAGGCGAAGAAGAAGGCGACTCAGAAATGGGACGTGTACTCTTTCGGAGTGGTGCTGTTAGAGATTCTGACGGGGAGGTCGCCGGCCATGCACTTGGCCTCTGCCGAGATGGATTTGGCCACTTGGGTGCGCGAGACGGTGGAAGAGAGGAAGCCCATCTCCGAGGTTCTGGATATCCACCTGTGCGCTGAGATCTCCAAACTGGAAAGCGAGTTCATGGAGGCTCTTCAAATCGCTCTTCTGTGTACCGAGCCCTCGCCCGAGCAGAGACCCACCATGGGGCTCGCCTCCCATAGCCTGGAGCAGATAGGCCGCAAATTGGAGATTTGTGTGAGTGAGTGAGAGACGGGGCTGACCGACCGACTTCATCGAGATCCTGCATTCTGATCGTGCGAGTGAGTTCCACCCTCGAAGCTCTCAGATGATGAAGCGCAATTGTCTCGCTCGATCGATCGATCGATGATGCTGTGGGATCTTGCGTTTCTTCATCACCATCACCTTCCGTCTTCTTCATCCTTCTCAGTCTCAAACCCTGCAACGAAAGTGGATTCTTTTCCATCCTTTGGATCAACCATTACCTTGATCGACCAGATGGAACTTATTCATGTCAGAGCAAGAGACCACCTTCTCAATAGCTATGGATTGTGCAGACGTTTGCATCCATCCCGTGAATGCAAGATGAAAAAAATCTACGTCCGCATTGGCCTCATGAGACGATGGTGTAGAGATCCGCACAATCTCCGTCCGCCTCCCAGATCTATCTCTTCCCGGATAGATACCCAAGCCTAGCTAGCTAGCTGATGAAGTTGGTCCTTTAATTCATTCGACTTAGAATTTAATCTCTCCAAACAACTGAACAACGAAGGTAAATTTATGTGTAGTTGAATCATCATCATCATCCACCGTGCCCTTAGTGTGCCCCGGCTGGGGAAATGTGCGCACACGCCACTGTGTAACTTCACTCGAGGTTTTTTGGTGGAAGAAGAAGAATGTACACCATCTACCGCAAGGCGCATTTCTTTGCGGACATTGATGCTTGAAGGCAAACGGACTGATTGGTAGTACACTCTCTGGAACTTCCGTGGGTGATGATGGATGGATTGATGGCAGCGTCAACCCGTGTGTGTGACCATAGTATGGTGTTTCGCAATTTTCTTGTGCATACAGACATCTGCGGCCCTGGCCTGCATTCACAACCCCAGTTTTTGTCGCTCTGCTGGACTCGAGTACAAGAGTGATTACAATCTGCATATCAAGTGGATTCTTAACGCGATGAAGGGACTGGAATGGCCTTCAGCAGAAGTTGCAGGTTCTTCTCCCTGATGGAAAATCCTTTGTAGTATGACTGCCGAGCTTTTAGTGTGAACTTCCGAAAGGCGCTGGTATTGCTCGCAGTGATGAGCAGTATTTTAGCCACGCTCACTGTTCTGAAAGAAAGGACTGGAATGGCATGGAGCAAAAGCTGCAGCTGCTGTTTTCTGATGGAATTCTCACCATTCTAACATACGATTACAGTCCTACCACATTCAATCACGAGCTACCCAATACTACAGCAAAACATCACCGTGACAGATGTCAGTGATCTTATTGCTGCTGTGCGGAGATTACAACCAGCGGATCGGTTAACGGAGGTTACGGAGCAAATTCACAGCCGTGCAAACATTCATTTAAAACAAGTATGCACATCTCGAACCTATCCATGAGGAAGCCCGTTCTCCTGAATTATGCGGTGATGTCAGTACGTCCGTGGCACCAGTAAGTCAGTATGTTGTTGCCTTCTATGACGACTTTCAGCATCCTTATAGCAAGTAGCATAATACGGCCTAATAGCAAGTTTTATTGCAAAAGTCGTGTTTCATACCTGAGGATACTTGGAAGAAGTTCTATGAAACATTTTGAAATCCTGGGTACAAAGCTTCGTCTTTGACGTATAAATGTTTGTGCCCGCCTTTTTTTGAGTTGCCGATATTCTTGAGAAACGACAATGTATCCGGTGGACCAGATTCTTAGAAGTACCGAACTTCATCCTTAGGTCCGCTATCCAAATTTGATAAAAACTCATCGGAGTTACAGTTGCACTGTGAATACACAATGCAAATGCCTCTTTTTGCTATGACGTGTGGGAATAAGCGGGAGGCACCTTTCTTCAGTATTCTTGTGACTTTTAGGAACATATTGATTGGGCTGCTGGTATTGTATGAGCAAGACCAGATACAATTCTTGAATTCAATAGTGCACCTTTCTTCAGTATTCTTGTGACTTATAGGAACATATTGATCGGGCTGCTCGTAATGTATGAGCAAGGCCAGATACAATCCAATAGTGCCGATCGGTAATCCGCTGAATTAGTTGTCCTCTCTGACGTCGAGGCCCTTCTACAGCTTATGTGCAGAATCATCCTTATCTTCAAACCGTGCTAAGCAACTGGAAACTCCATATTTCGTTGAAAAACTGAACATCTTATGAGGCCATTTCCATGTGAGGTTCATTTCAAACCATCAGGCCCTTCAGCTCTTCTTTTTTTTTCTCTTCTTTTTCTGTTACGTCTGTACTGCATAACTCGCTTGCTCAGCGAGTAAAACAAAGTCCTCGTGTTCAGATTTGAAGCCGGTTGCTACAGCAGCATAATCCAGCTAAAAAGAATGTTATCTTCTCCAGTCGCGTAATTGAAGAAACTTGGAAATCAAGTTTCACAACCATCCGAACATAATGCCTTTATCAACCAACTAATCAAGAACTTGGTGAGTCATCGCCATCAGGTGGGCACTGCTATCGTAACATTCAGCATTCTAGCATCCTAACCGCAGAGCCAATTGTCTCATCCAGTCAATTCCAAATGAAGTTCCACTGATATGAGAAGAAACGCAAAATTCTAGAATGAAATCTAGAATCTTGCTCAAGTGTTACTCATGAAGAAAGTATGCCACTCTATAACAGTTCGAAAATACTACACGAGTTACCGGCGAGTGTGACCACCCTGGTCTTGTAACCGATCTTCCTCATGTCTTCACCTGTACATTATGTTACAAGACTCCATATTACAGATATATGTTCAAAGTACTACGGAATAGGCTTCTCCCCATCGGCATGTCCATCAACCTCCGATAAGCAGGTCACTCGCCGTCTCAGGAAAATATCATCGTCATCTCGATAATTTCCCAGGACTCAACGAATGCCAGACCAGAAAGCCGAAATTTTCACCCCTGTTGAAGTACTACTACTGCTCAAGCTAACTTAAAAGACGCGGCAGCTCCCTCCACGAACTTCTGTGATCCCTTGAACCACCTCTTGTCTCCAGCTTGTGACTTAAATATATACAATTTCCCGCCATTCACAGTAGCGACGATGCACTGGTGCCTACCTCCTTCAGTTCCGTCTCCAGTACGCGTGAGCACTTCCAAATAATAGTACGTTTTGCCACCCAACTCCTTCTCGTCTGCGGTGAAGATGCTGGCAGTGGCCACGGCATTCTTCTCAAAACCTCCCTCAGAGGCTGTTTGTCCCTGGTACGATTGCTTTCCAAGCAGGTACGAATTCTGTAAAAAAGCCCACTACAAATAGATCAGACATGTTTTTAGCCAACCGTCGAAGAGAAAGATATTTTGCAGACATTTTACCTGCTTATGAAAAGGTGTGAGTCTCTAAGTATACTGACCCCGGAACATATTAGCTCGTCGTAGTCTTTTACACCAACGATACAATTGCAAATGGTATATCTATGCTTTAAGAAGTATCGAAATTAAAACGTTTTACCAAAGGGTTCCTTATTTGTGGTTCAATCATGACAGTCGGACCTTTTCGAGAAATTTTTCAGGGGAGCCGAAGTCCTTGATGGACTTCACTGGAGCGTCCACAATAGAAACGGAAAGGTTGGACAATTGGTCGAAGTTGTCTTCGTATCTCAAAACTTGCCCCGGAAACTCAATCTCCTTGCTGGGGTTCCATTTGGAAGGGAGGTCGACGACGAAGCCCTCCCCCGAGTAGGTGGTGAAGCCAGTCTGCTGCTTGGGAGTTCCGAAAATATTGGCTGCTCCACACGTCCACTTCCCCCATGTCAGAAACAACAACAATCCCACAACTTCTCGCTTCACTCTTCTCTTTCCTTCCTTTCCCTTCTCCGCGATGGCAACAAAGTGCACCTCGTCAGACAAAAGCATCGACAACGATCAAGATCAAGATCAAGAACCAGGAGCACGCGCCCGACTTACCGGTCTCGCCATACGCGGCGCGCGCCGGGGCCGCCCCGTTGGAGCTCACGGCGACGAGGCCGGCCAGAAAAGCGAGAGCCGATCGTCGGCCGGCCACGGCCTCCCGCCCCTGGACCGCATCCTTCTCGTTGCCTGCAGCGCAGCGGCACTCGACGGCACCGAAACTCTGCCGCCTGGAAAAGACCGCGGCAGCGCCCGGGAAAGCCGCTCCGGTCGCAGCGGGCGATCGAGACGAGGCGAGGGCGAAGCTCCCCGCCGCCGCCGCCATGGACAGGAGCGTGGTGGATGTGGAAGCCGCGGAGGCCATGGCGCGCGCGAACGTTCGGCCCAACGGGTCGGATGCCGCGGTCGATCGATTCCTCCTCACTCGAGTGCGCGCGCCGGCTCGAGGGAACGAGAGGAGTTCGAAGCGCGCCCGAAGGATGTGCCTGCGGAGGAGGGGCGGCGAGCTCTTCGTTGCGCTTCTTCTTGCCGACGGAGCTCGTCGCTGGTTGGATGGATGGGACCTGCACCTCCGTGCTCCCCAGCGCCCATCCGGCTCCGTGGATTGGATGCAATCAGATGATGCTCGCGTCGCCACCGTTTCCTCATTTGCAACAGACCCATTCCGCTTGCGTGGTTTTTTCGGATGGCTGATGACTTGGAAAGCGCGCACCGAATTAAATCGTCGAGAGAATTAAAATAAGTGTTCTTTCGCCAGGTCGAGATAAGTCCTATCTGGAGAGAACTGTTTCCAGATACTTTTTCATATTATTGTAAAGTTCATCGAGAAAGTTAACGAGGCGCCTCATGTAAATCATGAATGATCATGATAGGACGGAGGGTTACGAAGTGCTCGAGGTGCAAAGAAGTAGGATGAACAAACCGGACGAGAGAAGAACTTTGAAAGGAAGACAATCGTCGGCGTCGTATTAACTTGTGCCGATTTCTCCTTTCAGAGAAACTCTTTAGGACTGAAACAAATACCACCGAGAAACTAACGTCCGATGAGAATGCCAACGAAATTTTTGGAAACATCAGAGAAATTAAAATGAAGATTAGCAAGAGGGGTTGCATGTTAAATAAGACGATGCAGCTCTGATGCTCAGACGCTAATCCAGTAAGCAAGAAGTTGCAAGTCTAGATCTGCAATGGATGACAGATTTGAAGCAGATATTTTCTAAGGGAAAGCACATGTTCAATGATGTACAACTTTTTGCCTCTGTAACACTCAAGCCAAAATGCATTTCATTCTTTATTTCTGTTTCGACTGTTGGAATATCTAAGGCTAAAAATGCGCTCTTTTAATTATTTTTTCTAAAACTTGCGTTAAGAAAGAACATCCCTGCATTTACTAGTATAATACATATATAATTATGTTTTCTGCAGAAATATATCTAAAAAATTGAAGATTAAATTGTCCATGTATTATAATAACATTTTAGATTTCATAAAAAAATGCAAGAAGATCTATATTTATAATTAAATTTTAAACATAGCGTTTTATTCTTGAACTAATTTTCTAAAATTAATATTCAATACTTTAAAATGAATATTAAAAATTGGGATTGAATTCAAAACTATGATGATTTGTTACATTTTCATATCTGGATGAAAAGATTCAAAGAATCTTGATATAGAGGTCCATTCTAAAAAATACTATCATTTCAAAAAAAATGAAATTAAATTTTTTTAAATTCATATAATCTAAGACAAAAAATTTAGATAAATACATAATAAATATTGTATACTTTTGGTTAGATGGAATGTCAATTTTACCTATAAAATTTTCAAATACATGTTAATCACATACCAAGATAGATTATATATGTCAATTGCAAGTTCTAAAATATAAATTTTGATTGATAATTGATATTTTTTATCAATAGTATCAAATGATAATCAAATAAATGTAAAAAAAAATTCAAGCACACATCAATAACAGACAAGAAAGTACATGATTTATCATTGCGCATACAAATGCAACTCAACCAAAAATATAGATTTGATGGTGACTTCTGGACAATGACACATTAACTAGATTAATTAGTTAACTAACTAAAAATAATTCAAACCTGACTCACTTTCAACTAACATAATTAAAATATTTAAAATTTATAAATCGACATGTAAAGTAATGGGTAAGATCAAAAATAATTTTTTATTAATTTATTAATGAAATATGTTAAAATTTTTAAAACATATGAAGATTATATTTAAAACCAAATCTATGGATCATAGACATGAACAGTTAATAATTGTTGAAAATTTATTATGTGTTATATGATTTACAAGGCTTATCGTATAAATATACACACAAACTCACACACATACATATATTAATCTCAACATCTTGTATTTATTTCATTAAGCTAGAAAGATATTTTTTTATTACACCATCATAAACTTTTTAAATAATACGAAGTTAATTTAAAATTTTGATATTAAATATTTAATAATCAAAAGGTTGTAAATTATTTTTTGATTTAAAATTTTCTTCATGAAAAATAGTATTCAATCAATTAAAAAAATACAAAAGTATTTTCAAATCAAAACTATTTGATTTCAGGTGAGGGATAGGTTAATTAGGAGTCAACTCAAGTGTTGTTAGTCTAATGTTAGTTGGTTAAACTAGTTTGTTTGCTATCATATAAAAGATTTTTTTTCTATTCCATAACTAGAGAATATCTAGTGTTTTGATTGAGTTATCTTTGTGTTTGAGCTTACATAGTATTGAAGAGATGAATAACTCTGCGTTCCCCATTAAAAATTGTTTGTGTTGACTCTATATCGGAGTAAAAAATCTCTCTAACATGTCTATCTGCAATCAAAAAACAAAATACTTTTTTAACACAAATTGCATTTTAATCTACATATTACAAGATTTTGTTTCATGTATAGATAATACAAATATTAAAAATAATGATATATATTTTTTCTAATTATTGGATAGAACATAAAAAAATTTGAAGCAAATAAATGTATTCTAAATGACTGAATAAAAAAATTAATAACTTTTTAAGAATAATCTATCTAAAATACGATTTGTAAAATTTTTTCAGAAAAATAAAATAATTTTGAAATAGTTTTCTATAATTTTTTTTCACTTCATATTTTTTATTTAAAAAAATAATTTACGAAAAGTTTAAAAACAATTAATATCATTATGAATATTATATTCAAATTTTGAAAATCAAATTTTTCACTATGATTATGAAAAAAAATTATTAGTTGGAGCTATCTATATCGAGCTAAGTGTGATGCAAGATAACTTTTTGTTGAAAAGTATTTGTGTATCAACCTACATCTGAACAATTTATTTTTTATGATAAATCTTTGAAAATGCTTGTCATTGGAAATTTTGATCACACCAACAAATGATATTAGTAGAGTAGGTTAATGATTAATAGTGAACTTTTTCTGAGGATTAAGACTGCTCATTTCATGCAATTAGTATTGACAAGAGTTGCAAGCATTGAAGTCAAGAAATTAAAACAATCTAGCAAAAGCCCAACAAGTTGAATCAAGATATAGATTAGTTCTATACCGATATACAAACAACCGATTCAAAAGTTTTTTGGTAGCACAAAGTGCACAAATAATACAAAATTCAGAATTTCAAATAACTAGATGAGACACAAGCCCATTTTATTCATTTATGTACAAATTTTATTTGACAACTAAGGATTTCAAACATGTAGTCTATGACCAAAGAATTTCACATGATACATACAATTTATTAACAAATATGTTCAAGACTAGTTTACAATTTTACAATCAACGCGTGACCAGCGTGACATTTAAAAATATAAGATGCAATTGGGTTTAAGTAAGTAATTAACATTATTGATTTGTGATAAGTTTCTCAATTTTGAACTCTGAGTTTTTGGTAGAATAATAATTTTTGGCTATCATGACAATCATGTTTGTTTACTTGTTTTTTTATATGCGTGTGGAGGTATGATTATCATAAGGCGGCAGATGTGGCTATGAAATTTCCGGTGATCGGATACACTTCAAATTTTTGACCGCAGATCAATCTAGTTGTGAAAAGTGAATTTCATGCACATATGGAGAAAAAAGGAGAATAAAAGAGTAGAGATGAGAGAGTAGATATCAGTTCACTTTCTCACTCTCCCTCACTCTTGCCGCTGTAAATAATCTCAGCAATGAACGGAGCACAAGATCTAAAATTTATGTGAAATTTGTAACTCATCAAGCTACATATTGGCATATATTCAAAAAATGTGTAGATAAAGAGTGAGGTTCTGAAACTTTGTGTACATCTCTGTTCAATTGAGCTTTGCATGTTGATAATAAACTAACCCAACATGAAAGTTATACAACTTCAAGATCTTCAATTACTATCAATTTTTAGTAAAAAAAATATCTTATAAATCGATCATATAATTATAAGAATGTAGAGGATTATTTTTGTTACTATATCAATGTAAGTTGATCATTTGTGATAAATAAATGTCATCATGTATGAAATTACTTTTCTCAAATCCAAGTCTTCTTAGTTCCAAACTTTTAGTATTTCAACAATCATTTCAATCGAAATAATTCTATATTCAAATTTCATATGCTTAGCAATAAATTTAATTTCACCGAGGACTTTCTATTTTTGCATATACTCTGTAATTCAAATAGTTGATTCTTCATTTTACAATGTCAGATAGTGACATATTAGGATAAACGGAAATTCCTTATCAACATTTGGACAAGCTTATTTATACAATGTCAATGGTGTTGTAATGGATTGGTTTTAGATATAGTATAAACACAATCAATGATCTATCTGGGTAACTTCATAAGAGTTCTTGATTATGTCAACCTACAAACTTGATTCAAAATGTCCATGTATATTCTAATAATTCCCTTTCTACATTGTAATCAATAACAATGATTTTAAGAACAAAGTTGTGAAGTGTTTCACTTCACTAAGTTTAGCAAATAAGTATTCAATTCAACGATAAGTTTTACTTTTTTTCAGTTTGTGATCATGAACAAGAGAGTAAATGCCGATCTACAGGAAGAAACAGTTCTCACGAATAAAATTAGAATCTGGTTATAGTGACAGACTACGTTACGTGAGTACAAGTATGGGTGACTATAATTTTATATTACATATTCTCTCGTTCCGATATGACTCAACAGTAACTTCCTAAAAGATTAAATTGTCAACCTACATGTGTATGTTCTTATCCACTGCTCTTCATGGTGGTAAAACTTATCATCTTGAAACACGTTTTGAATTTTCCTTTAAGATTCAGAGGTTTATGTTATAAATGTTTACGGTATAATAACTGCGTAAATCAAATTTAGTTTTCGTTTCTCATATCACGATGACCTTGAGCAAGACGTTTCAGAGTACAGTGTTTAGAGAAGTTTGTTTCTTGTTACACGATTTGCCTGCAAGTGGATTTCGTGATTTAATTCCCGGAAGATTTTCAGTTTAGATGTTAAATGTCATTATGCAGATGTTTCATGTACAGTACATTTTCGGAGTAGAGCGGGACGACAATTTTCCTCACAGTTTTCCCATGTTGGTAATTATGATATTTTCATGATGGATGATGATAGATATATCACTTTTCACCGTTCTCATGGACAGTTTCAGGTACAAGGCATATTTTTCTCCTTCTTCGGGATATTGTAAAGGGTCTTTTCATCTAGTATGACTTACTAGATACATGCTGCGAAACGTGTGAAACAGTTCGTCCACACTGATTTAACTAAATACATGCGTAATAAACCGTATAAACTATTCTTCACTGTACTTTTGCGACAATTTCCAAGTTCAATTACAGGACATTCATGTCGCTTTCATTATTTCTTCTGTGCAAATGTCATATGCGGAAGTCTGTCTCGAACTATTCGTTGCACTGAACTAGAAGGTTCTCTTACTGTACATATTGAGAATGTTCAATCCTCCAGAATCACCCGAGTGTCTCGCCCAGTCTTGCTAAGTAACAGATGAGAATAGCAGATGAGAATCGCAGACAAAACCACGCTAGAAGGACGGGTTACAACCAACGACCAGAAGATGCACGCTTTGTTCGGAGAAAAACTCAATTTCAGTTTAAACGTGAGAATTTGACAGTTGAACAGAGAATTTGTTTAATCAGATCTTGTAACTTTGTCTCTCATGTTTTAAACTGTACATTATGTTACAAGGCCTTAGGTTACAGACATCATCAATGCACTCCAGCACAGTGCAGACAATAGACTAATCCTCACCGGCAGGTCAGCAACATCAGATAGAGCCACCCCACTCCCGTCTGAAGAAAACTCCTTCGTCCCATCGGTAAAGATCGTAAAAATCGACAAATGTTTCGCACGCAGCCTTTCTTCACCCGTCACCTTTGAAGAGAGACAGTCCGAACTATCCCTATCTACAGATCCTGGCGTGGCTAGCTGCTTAAGCTACGGTGAAAGAGTCGGCGGCTCCGTGCACGAACTTCTCTGATCCCTTGAACCACCTCTTGTCTCCGGCCTGCGCCTTGAAGATGTACAATTTCCCGTTGTCGACGGTGGCCACGATGCACTGGTGCCTGCCTCCCTCGTTTCCGTCTCCGGTACGGGTCAGCACCTCCAAGTTGTAGTAGGTCTTGCCGTTCACTTCCTTCTCTTCGGCGGTGAAGATGCTGGCGGTGGCCACGGCGTTCTTGTCGAATCCTCCCTCGGATGCTGTCTGTCCGTCGTACGATTGCTTTCCGAGAAGGTATGAGACCTGTATGACACCACAACCCTCGTCGAGTCAGACCCTCACTCTTCGTCGTCCGCCGGGCGCGAAGGAAATGCCGAAAGCCAAATGTTGGATTTATTAAAACTTGAAGTACTGGGGAGGGGAAGGTGATGAGCTTACCTCAGACAAGAACTTCTCGGGCGAGCCGTAGTCCTTGATGGACTTGACCGGGGCGCTGACGATGGAGACGGAGAGGTTGGAAAGTTGGTCGAAGTTGTCCTCGTATCTCAGGACCTGTCCGGGGAATTCCTTCTCCTTGCTCGGGTTCCACTTGGATGGTAGGTCCACGGTGAAGCCCTCTCCGGAGTAGGTGGTGAAGCCAGACTGCACCTTGGGGGTACCGAAAACATTGGCTGTTCGACACATTCAAGCACGAATCAGAGCATGCACGAAGACCTTAGAAACATCTACCGCTATCGACGGAAAAGTTTTGCAATGAGAGATTTACTCAGGTTCTTTCCGATGCAAGAAACTGTCAAATGTTCGACATGTCTGGACAAGGTTTCTTACCAGACTCTCCGTAAGCAGCGAGGGCGGGGGAGGCCTTGGCACCGACGGCGACGAGGCCAGCGAGGAGGGCGAGGGCAGATCGGCGGGAGGTGACTTCCTTCTCCTCAGCTGAAGCGCGGCAGTTGACGGAGATGGCCTTGGAGGCCAAGACGGTGCCGGGGAAGGCAACACCGACCGAGGTTCCGGACACGGCTGATCGAGAGGAGGCGAGGTTCGCTGGGCAGGCAGCGACCTTTGCCATGGACAGAGCGGAGGTAGCAGAGGCGGCCATGGCTCCAAACAACGAGCGGAAAGCTGGTTGGCTACGTGCTGCCGATGCGAGTTCTGATGCTGTCTTCTTTCTCTCTCTGCTGCTCGAGGCCGACGGGGGAATGAGAGCAAGGAAAGCAAATCTTAAGCGCTCTAAGGGTCGAAGCGCGTGCTCACCTCTTCTGCCCACGCAAGTGGTCCACTCCTCGTCCGCGAGCTGCTTGCCAATGGAATCGACAGACGCCTGCGTCTGTGGATGGATTGAAGGCCCCTCGCTTTTGGACTTCTGGCTGCGATCGCCTCTGGGATTGGGTGATTTGGATTGGGTTGGATTGGATTGGCCTTGATGATCAGATGATGCTACTCTAGCTCCCCCTATCAGCCCCCGGCCAATTTGACGTCTCTTCTAACTCTAGCGAACCTCTCCAGGCCCCTCAGACCGCTCCCATTCGCCCATCGCTGGTGCCATGAAGATGGCGATGGCCCAATGAACGATATGCCTTCGATTCAACAATTTGTCCTCGGGCCCACATCTTCTTCTCTGAGCAACATAGCTCAAACGTCAGAAATCGAAGGGATGAACTCAACCCATTGGAGCTCGTTGCATGTTACCCGATTTGTTTCTTCCCTGTTCTGGGTCTTCCCATCCTTTTTGCAATATTTCTCGGTGCCTCTTGCTCCAAGTTCCTAACCCTATCTTTATCATGGAAATCACAGCATTTCTGCGAATTACAATAGTGCACCCTCACAAACACATTCGAGAAACTGCGTCATCACATGAGCTGGGGAAAACATATTTAGGAGAATAATCAAAAGAACTTTTCAGGCAAGATTCAGTTTCAGAAGTGGGTTGGAGAAAGGAGAATAGAGTTAGGATGCTCGAGAAATTAGGAGTGATGTAATTGTCGACCTCATAAAGTCACGAAGTGGCCGCTTATATTTCCGAAAGTACTTCAATTGTGACGGAGTCTACACCACTTCACGTATCACGGTCCTCCTATGACCTCGAAACCTGAGTCCGATCCACACAAGCCTAAACCCATTCTCCCTAACACCCACAACCTATTGAACAGCTTCCTCAACTCGTTGGTCTCCATTGACTCCCTCTTTGAATTTCTCAAGAATTGTTTAGTTGATTGAAACACGTTTTTTTACTACATACGATATCCATGACATATATATGTGAATCAGCATAGTGAGAGAGCGAGGGAAGAGCTCTATGTGTATCCGACGTCAAAACCGAGTTCCTCTTTGAACCATGACCTGGTCGACAAGTTGAGCCTAGTAGAAAGTTTGGGTTTGTTATTGCTAAGAGTCAATCCCCCAGCAAAAAGCATCCACTGGAACTTGCTGAACAAGAATAAAAATTACGGATCGTCATAAAATGTAATGCATTCTAGTGCATGTAGAAGAGGGCCAAACCCTAAGTGCTATTCTAGAACCCAAAAAATTCACTGAGCAAATTAGTAGTCAGCTGCCTACCTTTTGCCAAAATTTACGCGGAGCTTAAAAGCAACTCAGCAATCATGAAAAAGATGAAGATAAGTATGGAAGATCCCCGGATCACTCCCATAAAAGTTTAATATTCCCGTGAAAACATTATGAATACAACTACACACAAACAATGTATGTAACAAGCTGCTGCAAAAACAAATTCATAGCCGAGATTTGCAAATTTGAAAATTGTTAATGATACACTTTGTAATCTAAAATAGTTCACATCGGTTGATTTAGAGTCCCAAAATGTGAAAGGCTTTGAGAAACTAACTCTGGACTGAAGACATGGCGTTCCTAACCTGTATCTGGCTCAACTCTCAAACCGACAGTTGGCGGTGGCAATGCAAAGCAAAAATGCTCTGAGATGCGGAAGTTGGATGGATTTGATTAGATATTGTAGGAATCTTGCTCTTTTGCCTTCTATTCCGCCCGCAGCGATGGAGGATTTGTCTTAGTCTTCATTGCAGTATCCTCGGAGGCGAATCTTGGTGGATGCTGCATTGCTGCATCATATCATACACGAACTTTCTCTAGAAAATACTGCGGCCATTGCTGAATTTGGCTCGTAGTCGACCAAACACTATGTCCCTCTGAGCAAGAGAGCGCCGTCATGTCGTTTCCTGCGAAATCGGATGTTTGATCATTTCATCGAGTTCGGATTAATCTAGTCATTCGAATTTGAAATTTCCGAATTTTATAAAGAGGCAAAATCAAAATGAGATGTAAGATTCCCTCGCTGTAGCATTTGGGGAGCTGGAGTAGCAAGCTGCTCAACGTTAGCGGTTCAGATCAAAGCGAAGTAGGGAGGTCATATTTGAGGGCAAATTGTTGCACCCAATTTATGGACAATTTATGGATCAGCGATGTCATCACTGAGACATTTCTGTCTTCTCTTTTGTTGGGATCATACCCATGGATCATATCATGGATGGAAACTTGAGGCAAAAAACAGGAAGACCTGATGCACACATGAGAACGGCATGTTTAAGGCACTTTACTGTTGTTGTTACTATCATTATTTATGTCATTGTTTACATTTATATATCTGTGCTACCCGGTAGGATAAGTTAGAGGCTCCTAATCATTACCCTCGAACGATTCCTTGCAAATTTTCCTTAGGAAAGTAACAGGTACTACTTTTTGGATCGCCAGACCTCAAAGCAAATATTTACTTGAAGTCGGTAAGAAATCATACAATTAAAAGGAAAATAGATTTCATGTAAGTATTACGGTGTCTCCTGTCATACAAACTATATGTATGTATGTAAATATATAGATTTTACAGTGAAAAAACTTATCCAATTTTCTTTTAAAACCTTTTAGAAGAACTAAACAATGATAAAGATTATGATGCTAGATCCAACACACTTATAATTATCATCTACAATCTTTGACCTTTGTTCAATCATATAAAAAATTCTGATGATTACATGCAATGTGATATTCAAATGAGAATGTAATACATATATAAATAAATAAATATCAGCTTTTTTATTTTTTTCTTATTGATATCACTGAATTTTTTTTTGCATTTTGATCTAAGAATGTCAGTAGATACTAATTTACAATATTTAAAATTGAGCACATTATAAATAGAATGAATCAACCGATTTGATCATTGAATAACTTGCTGAAATAGATAATATACTTCAATTTAATCATCTATGTATGAAACTAATAACTGCTTGTCAGAAAACATCCAAAATGTATCATTTTATGAAAATCAAATTTTATATTATAATTACACACGTTTTGAAATAAAAACATAGTTTATAAATACTTATAATCATTGAGTCCAGTAAATAAAAATAAAATTTTAATATATTTTATAAATATATGAAAATTTCCATATCAAAACTAAGGTATTGCAAGTATATTAATTTTTTAAATATAGATTATGAAGATGTAAAATTAAAATTTGATGAAATTATCTATAATAATTGCATCCAATAATTTTGTCCGGTTATGACTTTTAAAATGAGGTCATTAAAAAAACTAAACGAAATAATGTATGCTAAAAATGACAATGAAGTATTCCAAATGCAGATTTCACACACCATATACTACAAACGTACTTTCTAAGGTGGATCATTTAGTTGAAATATATTTAACAGAAACATAATGTTTTACTCACAAAGTTTGTGTCACCAAGAAATACAACTACCTTTCAAATATAATGATACGCTAGCCCTGTTAATAGATAATGCTATCTATTCTAAAATCACTCACACACTCTCTATGTGTATGTATGTATATATATATATATAGATAGATAGGTAACGGCTAGTTATCTCTGAGTTGAGGCTAATTAGCACTCATCCTACTACACCCTAGAAGCTCTAGTCAAACCATTTTAGTTTTGATACGTGATTAATTGTGGATCGATCCGAGGCCCGTTCTCCGTTGCCACTCCATCTGCCTTTAACTTCAACTCGACGAAAGTGTTACTCCTTGTGCGCCAGAAATCTTTTTCACTTTGCTTTTAGAGCAACCTTAGTGAAGAGTGTATCTTACGGGATTTGAACCCGTGTTTTTGAAATGAAAAGAAGATGTCTTATACCCCAAAACAAAAGGTATGAAATCACTTCAAACTCATAAAAAATGAGGAATAACTGATCAAAACAGTCCGGTTTGGATCATGGGGGCCCTGTTGATCCTATTTGTCCATTCTTTTAAGAATTGCTCTTACTCTACCTTATCCAATTTCTCATAAATTATGACTTTGATCTTCTACCAATGGACAGGGAGTATGTGTGTGGGTTTAAGTTGGATTCTGGACTCCCAATGTCATGATCCAGTGATTCCCTTAAAGCGCTTGTCTTGCTTATCTTACAATGGCCATGGGATTCATTGCCACGTTCGGCCAGTAGCTCGGGGGTCATAGTCGCCAAAGCTCCCAACATGCTATCGGACATGAATCATATCTAGCTTCCGATTCTTGACGAAGGTCTCGGGATTGGCAAAGAGTTTGGTAGTGTTCCAACCGTAATCACTGAGGATGTACAATGGGATAGCACAAGAGAACGGACCTTGGATCAATACAACGATTAGTCACGTATTGAAACTGAAATGAATAGGCTGGAGCTTCTAGGGTGTAGTAGGGTGAGGGCTAATTAGCCTCAACTGAAGAAATAATTAGTCGTTTTATATGTATGTATATATATATATATATATTTATATATTTATACATATTCTTGAATATAAAAACTCTGTCACATAAATTTATAGCAATGACAATTCTAAATTAAAATTTCAATATTACTTCATTATTTGAATTGAAAGTTTTTACTCTTATTCATGCTTAAAGATGATTGAATATTCAAGTTTCTTTAACTTATCAAAATAAAGATTGACATATTAAAATAAGAAATAAGGTCATTAAAAAACTAAACGAAATAATGTATGCTAAAAATGGCAATGAAGTATTCCAAATGTAGATTTCACACACCATATACTACAAACTTACTTTCTAACGTGGGTCATTTAGTTGAGATATATTCACAAAAACATAATGTTTACTCACAAAGTTTGTGTCATCAAAAAATACAATTAACTTTCATATATAATGATATGTAAGCCCTGTTAAGTAAGATTATGCTAACTTGAGTTATATCTACTTTAAAATCACACACACACACACACTATATATATATATGTATATATATATATATATAAGAGGAGGGGCTAGTTATCTCCCAGTTGACGCTAATTAGCCCTCATCCTACTACAACCTAGAAGCTCCAGCCAATTCATTTCAATTTCAATTCGTGACTAATTGTAGATCGACTCAAGGCCACCTCATTGGCGTTCAACTTTAGCTCGGCGAAAG